TCAATGAAGCAGAAGTAGATGTTTTTCTGGAACTCTCTGGCTTTCTCCATAATCCAGCACTTTATAAAGCCAATAATGCACAATAGAATCTGGAACATTATTTACGAACATATGTATGAACTACTGACCAAACTTCAGAACTCTAGCTCTCTACTATTCAAATTTAAGGGGAAAAGAGTACTCAGATATAACAGCAGTTGGGTTTTTTGAAAAACTTAAAACTTGCCATTGCCACTCTGTAAATCAGGTCCCTATTCCCAATTTTCGAAAAGCCCGGAGTTAGCAATGTTTGGCCTTCTAGAAGTTGCTGGATTGCAACTCTGATGATCCCTTCCCTGCCAATCTAGGCTGATAAGGGCCAGTAGGAGCTGCATTTCAAAAACATCAAGGCCACATTTTGCCTGCCCCTCTTGTAAGCTACGGTGCCTGGAGACTGAAAGACAAAGCCCAAATCCATTTGTGGTGGAAGTGATGTCTGAGCTGGGAACTTGGCAAGAAGAGTGTTATGGATCAAATCAATAATCTATATAGCCACCTTAGAACTGCAGAGCTGGAAGGGACCCTATGGATCACTGAGTCTGTCAAGGAGGCACAGTTGGGAATCAAACTCCTAACCTCTGGCTCTGCAGCCAGAGACCTAAAACACTGAGCAGTTATTTACTATTATTTACTATTTACTATTTACTATTATTTACTATTACAGTGGGGTCTTGACTTGAGAACTTAATCCGTATTGGAAGGCGGTTCTCAAGTCAAAAAGTCTGTAAGTCAAGTCTCCATTGACCTACAGTGCATTGAAAACCGATTAAATCCCGTAACAGGCCGTTTTTGTTCCATTTTGGTTTTTTTCTGGTCTGTAAGTCAAATCTCAGTCTGCAAGTCAAACCTAAATTTTGCGGCCAGAGAAGTCTGTAACTCAAAAAGTCTGTAAGTCAAGCCGTCTGTAAGTCAAGGGTCCACTGTATTACTACTATTTACTATTATAGTGGTGCCTCGCTAGACAGTTACCCCGCATGACAGTTTTTTCGCTAGACATTGACTTTTTGCAATCGCTATAGCGATTCGCAAAACAGCAATTCCTATGGGGGAATTTTGCTGGACAATGTTTGGTCCCTGCTTCGCAAACCAATTTTCGCTAGACAACAATTTTGACAGCTTCCTCTGCGCTTGCAAAACAGGTGTTTTCGGGACCTAAGCTTCGCAAGACCGATTTAAACAGCTGATTGGTGGTTCGCAAAGCGGCTTTCCTATGGCCAATCTTCGCTAGACAACGATGATTCTTCCCCAGTGGAACGCATTAAACAGATTTCAATGCATTCCAATGGGGAAATGCTTTTCGCTAGACAATGATTTCGCTAAACAGGGATTTCAGTGGAACAGATTATCATCGTCTAGCGATGCACCACTGTATTTACTATTATTTACTACTATTATCTATCAGTTATTTACTATTAAGTAAATTAATATTATTGTCTAGTAAGGGTGATTTATCCTGTTCCCAAAAGCAGTTAGGCAAATTTCTCCTAAAATGAATTCAGCAACTCCCCCATATTGATTGTGCTTGGTATCAAGCATGATACACTGCCTCTTTAGGTTTCATTTAATCACCAGCTATTAGCCCTTGAAAAACAATACACCATACATTTGTTGGCGCCTTTTCAAAGCCATCTAAGCTTGAGACAACAAGTTTCTCAAGTTACTCATGTGTGGTGCAAAGAAGTACTGCCCTTTGCTGTCCGAACCATGGTGGCAATCAATTTTCCTGAAATTCTAATGTCATAAGAGAGGGTGTAAAAACCTGAACTCTGCACCCACACTCTTTATCTATGCTAGCCCAGCTGTCTCTCTCAGTAGAACAGATTTGTGTGCAGCGGAGGAATCAATCCAACAGTATCAACTCAAAGCAGAAGAGACACAGTTTGAAAGAAACATGATGGATGAGGCCAGATCTGAAATTTAAAACAATTTCAAAGCTGTCTTCTTTACCTGTGACCAAGAAGAGGAAAACCAGCTGCCCTGATTTACTGGTGAATACACAGGGGGCCTGGGACAAGAGTTTAAGATGCAAACTTTCTCCAGTTCAACATTTGGTTTCTCTAGGTGGGAACATTTCTTAGGAGCAAGTTCCTTGTACTTTCCAGAAACATATTTTTCTGCACAATTCAGAGTTCTCCTTTGTACTCCCTTGGCACATGTCACAGAACACTAGAAAATGAAAGATACCATAAGGAAAAAAATATGTAAGTATAAAAATATACAGATCTCCTGTCCCTTTACACCTGATCTTTTAGCACAGTGGTTCCCAACCTTGGATAACCCAAGTGTTTTTGGGCTGTAATTCCTGAAAACTCTCACCAGCACAGCTAGTGGGGAAGGCTTATGGGAACGGCAGTCCAAGAACACCTGGGCTACCCAAGGTTGGGAACCACTGTCTTAGAACATCTCCAGGAAACTGGCTTCATTCTACTTATGGTCTGTTCCACATCCCTGAAAATAGTGTTAGGAGTGATATCACAGGTCCTGATCATTATTGATCATGGCATGTGATATTTGCAACAAAGTATTGGATTGTATCCCGCAACATCCAATAGGAAGAGCTTCTGTTCAGGGTGCTTGACAGCAAATAATGTGCTCTTCCAGGACACTGCATTCTATTTGTTCCTCTATAGTTTTCTATTTGTTTTTTTTCCAGACTGTCACATAACATTCTATGGCTACAAAGAAATAAAGCACAATCAATTTTTCGAAACTTGGAAACCTTTATTAAAATACACCAATGAACTAAATGAGAAGTCACATGATTTAGGAAATAATCTAGATTGCTCAGTTTGTCGGTCAGTAACTTTCTAGGATGGAATGGGGATTTGAGATTAACTAATTTTGTTAAATGGTGTGAATAGCTGGTGTTTAGAATTTTAAAGTATTTAGTAAGTAAGATGAATAGCTAATTCTATTATCTGTTTGTAATGTCTAAAATAAATTTTAAAAAAGAAAAAAGGGGGAAAAAACAAAACAAAAAAACCCAAAAGATAACATTCTATGGCTACGGAGCATGTCTGGAAATACCCCACATTCAGCCATAAAGGTACCGAGACATAAATACAGATGTCAACATCGTTTTAAGGGAGATGATGGCAGAATTGCAGTACAACTATTTTATTTCCTCACCTCAGTCCACGAGGACACAAACCACTGCAGCTTCTTATGTTTATGGCATCGTTTCAGGAGGCAAGCCTCTTGCATCTTAGGTTTCTGTTCTGCAACACAGGCAGCATCAGACAGGAGCTGTGCCCATGAAGAGGGACTGGAGCTTTTGCATACAACCACCCTTTTCCTCCAGCCTTTCCCACATGTTCGAGAGCACTGAAGAAGTAGAAATAAAAATAAACATTAAGAGAGTTGATGTTTTCCAGAAGCGGGGGGAGGGATTTAGAAATAAGTAGATTATGTTGTTTGGAAGACACATTGATATGCCATATAGTGCATTACTCAATGTAACAATTTAGATAATGAACTCTAAAATTATTGTCTGATAAGATAATACTGCCCAGTGCTTTCCCAAAGGATTCTGCTCCCCAGCTCCTCAGGTTAAGGACATAAGAACTCTTTCTGGGAAACTATTGTAAGTGGGCCAAGACTAATCTGACTTCAGATTTGGCCGGTAACACTATGAAGGTCTAACGAGGGACGTGGTGGCGCTGTGGGCTAAACCGCAGAAGCCTGTGCTGCAGGGTCAGAAGACCAAGCAGTCGTAAGATCGAATCCACGCGACGGAGTGAGCTCCCGTCGCCTGTCCCAGCTCCCGCCAACCTAGCGGTTCGAAAGCATGCAAATGCAAGTAGATAAATAGGGACCACCTCGGTGGGAAGGTAACGGCGTTCCGTGTCTAAGTCGCACTGGCCATGTGACCATGGAATATTGTCTTTGGACAGACGCTGGCTCTATGACTTGAAGAGCGGGATGAGCGCCGCCCCCTAGAGTCGGACACGACTGGACAAAAATTGTCAATGGGAACCTTTACCTTTATGAAGGTCTATCTATACTGCAAATAGGAAGGTTGGAGTCTGCAAATGCATAATGTTTGTGTCTTGTGTTATGTGCTGCCATGTCAGAACTGACCTTTTGTGAGCCTAAGAGGACTTCCAAGGCAAATTAGAGATTTAAGGAGTGGTTTACCTTTGCCACCCCCTTCTCAGTGGGCTTCTTTTATTCCTGGGATTTGAACCAGGTCTCTTGTGTCCTAGTCTCTAACTCTATCTAGTACACCTACACATAATGTTTGGGCTGACTCTGTTATAGTTTCCCTAGTAGAAGGGTAGAAATGCATAGCTTACACATGCTATAGAATTCTACACCAAAAGAGAGATTTCTGCCAGCAATTTTCTATTTGAGGAAATCCATCTGTTAGGAACCTAACACCGAATCTACATCTTAAGTTTACCATTTCTGGATTTCAGTTAGATCCCAGAGATCATTACAGACATTACAACTCCGAGCAAGTGTTTAGAGGTCTAACGCTGCAGTTCAGATACACACGAGCACAGGTTTTGAATCCACTGGTTGATGTGCATGTAAGAACTGGTTAGAAATGAACGCAGCAATGTGATTTGTTCTAGAGCTTTTGTACTACACTTTCATCAGTCCAGCCAACACAGCCAAAGACCACACTAGTTGGGGCTGGTGGGAGCAGTAATTTAGCACATCTGGAGGGCAGCTGGCTTGGCAAGAAGGAACGTGTTGAAAAATAATGTGTGATAAAATCATATTGATTTTGAGGGACATTAAACAGCATATAATTGCTTCAAATCTTAGTAAGTGCCTAGTTTTGTATGTATAGGGAGTCTTATTTTAACATGCAGCCTTTGGTCTACATTTTGCAGTCATACAGTCTCAGAACACATGTATCATGATTATAGCTAGTTTTCCGGAGAAATTTTGCACTGCAGAACCTTAGCTTCTACATAATAAGGCATCAGTGTTTCTGAAGAGCTGCAGGTTTCTCTGTGAGCACTGAATAAAGGCTTGGCAAAAGTGAGACCATTTCTGTGCTAGATGCTCGGGTAAATGAACTGACTACATCTGGCTTAAACAGATTGCTGGAAAATGGTTCTATTTCTTGCAGGTCGTTGGGAAAGCCGTAGTCAGGAAAGCCAGGGGTCATTGTCTGTACATTCCAGGTGCGCAGCTTAAGGGCAGAAATTTTCTTACGATTGTTGCATGGTGCACGGTTATCGATCTGCTTGTCGGGTTTGACCCTAAACCCCACGCACCCCGTGAAGTTAACAGACCGTGGCGAGGTAGCACCTTACTGGCTGGGGGCTGCCCAGCTTAAGGCGGGCGGTATCTACCTAGTGAGGTGCAATGACCTCTCCCACCGTCAGAAGTAGCCCCTGGCGTCCTGCTCTACGCCAATTGAGCAAAGACTTATAACCGGTAACTGCTACTTCCCGTGTTGTTTCGACGCTGTATGCGAAGCTGGAGTGTCCTCTCCAGAGCACGAAATAATAACAATATATATAATCATCATCACAATGTCCAATCAAGTCAATTCTGACCTATGTTCAGGGTTTCCTAGGTAGAGAATACTCAGAAGTGCTTGACCCTTCCCTTCTTCTGAGGGTGCCCTGGGCCTATGCAGCTTGCCTAAGGCCACGTAAGCTGGCTCTGCTTTGCAGGAGGCACAGTGGGGAGTCAAACAGCCAACCTCTGGCTCTTCAGCCGGATACCTAAACTGATACCTATCCAGCCAGCAACAATATAGTGTATATAGCATTAACAATATTGTTAACTACAAGGGGGGGGGCTCTGTAATTTACCTCTGACCAGGGTCCTGAGCTCCAGGTTGGTGGGCAGCTTTGGATATTGCAGAGCTCCTTGTTGACGGGGGCAGGGAACTGAGCCAACCTCTGGCTCTTCAGCCAGATACCTAAACTGATACCTATCCAGCCAGCAACAATATAGTGTATATAGCATTAACAATATTGTTAACTACAAGGGGGGGGGCTCTGTAATTTACCTCTGACCAGGGTCCTGAGCTCCAGGTTGGTGGGCAGCTTTGGATATTGCAGAGCTCCTTGTTGACGGGGGCAGGGAACTGGCAAAGGGAATCTGACACCCACTCTGGCTTGTACTGGACGGTCTGCATGCAGCGAACATGCCGGTACCTTTCCCCTGTTCCGCAACTTGAGCTACACTCAGTCCAGTTGCCAACTGACCAGCTAGAAACAGATTAAAAGACACACTTCATATTTGGAGATGTTACCGCTTTGTCGAGACCAACAAGAATTTGACGCAGTTATAGGCGCCACATTTGTATTCTATCTTTTCTCCAAAGCTCGGGGCTATTTTCTTTTATTCTTGTGACAAGAGGATGAGCAGAACTCAGACAAATATCCCCACGGAAATCGAGGAAGTAGATAGAAATGTTGAAGCAACCAGTAAAATCCTAGATTCTCTTTGAAATTGCATTATGTAATGCCTACTCATGTAAGATTCTGAAGGGAGCTGAGAGACAGAATGAAGGAAATCAGGAGAATACAGCATGGATTTGTAATAGACTATCAAACTTAGATGTCTTAAATCCATTTTTATCCCGCGGATGTTAATCTAACAATTCTTTCACTCTGAAATTTGTTTTGTAAATTAAGAGGTAAAATGATCCAGGCTTATTCAGACTTACAACAGAACCACTGAAATGAATGAGATGAGTTAGTCACAACTTGGTTCGAACTCATTAATTTCAATAGAGTTACTTGTAAGCATAACCAAGTCTAGATTCAATCACTCCTTCGAGTTCTTTTCACAGTAAAACTGTCCTTTTGGAAAATGGATAAGAAGACATTTTAAAACAGTTAAATAAAACTGAAAAATAGTGAGCGGTATCTGTAACATTATTTTTGCTGTTATGTGCTGACCCTTATAGGGCTTTCAAGGTAAGTGACATATTTAAGGAGTTGTTTTACCAGTTCCACACCCCCAGTGAGCTTCATGGCTGAGCAGAGATTCAAACCCAGGCCTCCTAAGTCCTATTCCTTAGCTCTACCCACTACACCACACTAAGTATCTTGTCTGTAGCACAGAAGCAAAAAAACCAAAAACAAAACTGCTATGTATTTATAGAGAACTTACCATCAGGCAGAGCAAATCAGTTGAGGAAAAACCAACTGAGAGAGGTGGCATATACATTTAAGGGCACGTGCTGTGAGCCAGGACATCCGTAGTTTGATCTTATCTTTATCATAACCTCATTGGGTGACCATGCAAACTAGTAACTTGCAGAATAACACAATTCCCCCATGATATGTTTTGAAAAACTAGTTCCATTTCATTTAATCTTTTCACTACAGATTTCAAATCACAGAAGAAAGGTAAAAATTACATCATGCAAAACCCACCCACCCCCATCCTGAGCCTGCTACAAGGGAAATAATTCAGTATGATGGGGACTCCTCATCAATCCTTCATCACATATTGGTAAGTACAACTTGTTTAGACTCTCTCTACCCCAGTGTTCTGCTGTATTTAATAACCACAGAAATATTCAGCTTCTGCCGTTGTGCCTAGAATCCAGTTAATGAAATGCAGACAAAACCCTAGGACATGCTGCGATCACATTTTCCCTTGTTCGTCTGTTTGAACAGATGTGCTAGTCACTGACCTTAAGAGCAGGTTTCAGGCTGCCCCAGGAATCTGCTCATGCTCCGCTCTCTTCCCCAAAGATTAGTGCCTGATATCAGACCTTGGCATGGAAAACAGTGGAAGATGATGACAGCTGATTGGCAAAGAGTGCGGGAAAGAGAGCAATGTGGAGCAGTAACCCAAGTCCTCAGCAAGTGACCTAAAACATTCCCGTCAACACTTCCGGATGTTCTACTTCACAGCACCACTTAAAAAATTAAATTAAATTAAAAAGCTTTCTGTTGCCTAAACCATTAATGAACGGTACTTCTTCTTCTTCTTTGCAATCTATACAGTGAAGCTCTGCATGTACTAGGCAATGTATGTGGATGTTTCATTAATCTCCATGAACAGGCTGTATTTCATGGATCATGTAGCCTGAAGCTGCTACTGAATAGGACTCCTATGTCAGGACTCTGTACCACGGCTGTTAATTTTACTAAGGCTGCAACTCCTATACACATTTGCTTGGAAGCAGGCCCCACTAGACTCAATGGGACTCACTTCTGAGGTAGACATATAGTACATTGCTTTTTCTGCACATCTGTATCTTGACAATGCCGTTCTGAAGCTGTCTTCAATAGGTCATCAATTTCACTAAATGTTATATTTATAAAAACAGGCAAAGAAAAAAAAAGTTGACACAGATGTTGAAAGCAGAAATTATTTTCTTAGCCATGTCACAGGCGTCCTGGTTCTGTGGCCAGAACACATTCTGGCTATGATGTAGTCATTTTCTAAGTGTACAGTACTTTCCATATAAGATCGCTCTGAAACATATCATCATTCCCCTTACCTACAGCTTTACAGTTAGGGCTGTTAAAAGCAGTGCATCACAAAATTTTCCTGATAACACATTCTGGCACACAGTGTATCATCTTTATGGTGTGGAAGCCACTGCAGCTTTACTCCTTCCTGGACTGCTCAGATAACACTCAATTAGGTCTCAGTGGATATGAGACGGTCCCATCCTGCACTTTAGAGGATAGATAATATTAGCACTGGGGAGGAGCTGTAATGCAAGCTGATGCTATAGGGTACAACATTTTTCATATTATCTCCACAGCATGGGAAGTAGCCATGGCACAAAGATTTCCATGGCAACAGTAGAGAAGCTTTCTTGTTGCTGTGGGAAGTTATTCACAGCTATCAATATTCAAGTTATAGAATTGGGCTGCCTGTCTTATTTTGTCTGACAGTTACCTTCAAAAGATGATTCAAGGCTGTAAATAGGATCCATGGCATAAAAAGAATCAGAACCAAATAATATACACTTGTTCGTTTGTTCGTTTAGTCGTGTCCGACTCTTCGTGACCCCATGGACCAGAGCACGCCAGGCCCTCCTATCTTCCACTGCCTCCCGGAGTTGTGTCAATTTCATGTTGGTTGCTTCGCAGACACTGTCCAGCCATCTCATCCTCTGTCGTCCCCTTCTCCTCCTGCCTTCACACTTTCCTAACATCAAGGTCTTTTCCAAGGAGTCTTCTCTTCTCATGAGATGGCCAAAGTACTGGAGCCTCAGCTTCAGGATCTGTCCTTCCAGTGAGCACTCAGGCTTGATTTCCTTTAGAATTGATAGGTTTGTTCTCCTTGCAATCCAGGGGACTCTCAAGAGCCTCCTCCAGCACCACAGTTCAAAGTCATCAATTCTTCGGCGGTCTGCTTTCTTTATGGTCCAGCTCTCACTTCCATACATCACGACAGGGAAAACTATAGCTTTGACTATAGACTATAGCTTTGAGTAGACATGGTCTAGAGGGGCGGGGTAAAAATCAAATAAATAAATAAATAAATAAATTGGCTATTCGGACTTTTGTTGGCAAGATGATGTCTCTGCTTTTTAAGATGCTGTCAAGGTTTGTCATCACTTTCCTCCCAAGAAACAGGCGTCTTTTAATGTCGTGGCTGCTGTCTCCATCTGCAGTGATCATGGAGTCCAAGAAAGTAAAATCTGTCACTGCCTCCATATCTTCCCCTTCTATTTCCCAGGTGGTGATGGGACCAGTGGCCATGATCTTAGTTTTTTTGATGTTGAGTTTCAGACC